TTAAATAAAAAAATTAATTTAATTGAAAAACATAAAAAAAAACCTTTTTTTTGGGGGTTTTTTTTTTTTTTTTTTTTTTTGGGGGGGAGGGGATTTTTTCTTAATAAAAATATAAGTAATATGAATTTGAAGTAAGCTTGAATTATCATTTTATTTTTTTGATTTAGAACTAAACCTTACTTGTTTAGGGGAGATAGGATCATGCCGGGGATGGTTATAGGGTCAAAGAAAAGAAGGAAAGATAACCAAATTTTTAATTGTTTTACTATAGATAAATAATTTAAATGACACACTTATATACTATAGATAAATAATTTCGGTTCATATCTTAAAATGTTTTAACTTGTGGATGTTCATGCTACTACTAGCAGGATATTGGTACACTGGTTTGGGATTTGATACTAAACTACCATATACATCTAAGGGTTGATAATGATAGGGATTTATTCAGTTATACATTTGCTATTGTTATAGAGGTTTCACATCTTGTAATATTCTAAATTTCCTAATCATTGTTGTTCAGTTGCAGAATTACTTTGGTTATTTTCTTTTCCTTTGTCCTCCTCCTGCGTTGGGTGTAAGTTTCTGCATTGTAATGTTGATTAATTTGGCAGGAATTTGTGGATTTCGATCATGATGAAGATAACTTTGAACACGATGGAGATGGGCGGTGGCCTTTTCATAGTTTTGTTGAGCAACTAATCCTAGATATGTTCGATCCAGGTTGGCTTCTGTTATTTTTATTCTTCCTGTTAAGGGTGGGCAGTGTAACCTTTAAGTGGGTGTGCTATTTCTTTTATACATACTTTTTTTGATATGCTATTATCATTGCTTCAATTGAAACTATGTCTTACAGTTTTGTTTTTATTTTATTTTATCCAAGTTTGGGAGGTACGCCATGGTAGTGTGATGGCTTTGAGAGAAATTTTAACGCATCAAGGTGCTTCTGCTGGAGTATTTATGCCTGACTTGAACCTGGACAGTGCAATGTTCAGAGAGTTAGAAAACAAATACAAATCATATACAATGAAGAGAGAGAGAGATATTGATTTGAATATGCAAGTTCCAATTGATGAATCTGGACCGAAACTGAAAAAGCCGAAGTTTGAAGATGTTTCATCACCGTTTATAGATACAGTGGTCTCTGCCAGCAAGGATGGGGATTTTGATATTAGTATGCAGACAGAAGATGACGGGTGTAAGTCGCCTTCTGGGCAGGTTAATGGTCAACTTCATGTGACCTCTCTTAAGGTTGATCCCAAGTGTTTTCTCAATGCTATGCCGCATCCACATGAGCAACCAGCCGAGACAACTGAGCTAAAGGGTCACTCAGACAATAAGGGATCCTTTCAGAAAATGGATGTGCTGAAAAGCCTCACTGAAAATAGTGATATGTTGAACTTGGTTAAACTGGCTAGGCATTCATGGCTTAAAAATTGCGAATTTCTTCAAGATTGTGCAATTCGTTTCTTGTGTGTATTGTCGCTAGACCGGTATGGTTTTTATCAAGCATGCCTTTTTCCTTTGAAAATTAACTTGGGCATAATTCATATGTTTAATTCTAAATCATGTGGCTGTTAGCATGAAGATCTATGTATTCTTGCATAATAACATAAATTACTTGCGATTATGTATAATTGCAGTTTTGGAGATTATGTCTCTGATCAGGTAGTTGCCCCAGTACGTGAAACCTGTGCACAAGCATTGGGTGTTGTGTTCAAATACATGCATCCCACATTAGTTCATGAAACATTGAATATCTTGCTGAAGATGCAGGTAAATGTTCTCTAATGCCATTGCCATGCTTTTAGGCCTGTATACTTGTTGTTCTTGGTTATTATTATCGATGTTGTAGTTTCTATGCTTCTGATATTCCTATTTGTTCAGTGTAGACCAGAATGGGAGATTCGTCATGGAAGCCTATTGGGTATTAAGTATCTGGTTGCCGTGCGGCGGGTAAGCATTTGTTTCTCTTTGTAGTATTTTGAGATAATTCGGGTTCTGCTAGAATATCAACCGTTTTTTGGACATCATATTGAAAAAGAATGCATGTTTTGGTTGATCCTTCAACCTGAGCTATTCTTTCTTTTCCTCATATTCGTAGTTTTTGTGGCGGTTCTGTGAACTTCTGGTATTTAAAAGTTGAGGTATCAAGTGATACTTGGATGCTTGGACATTTCTTTTCTTCAAACTTGTTGATGCTTGTCATTAGTAGGAATATAGTTTTTGTACTTTCATGTACTTATGAAATGTAGACAAGTTTCATGTTTCAGGCTGGACATGGCTGCAGTAGAAAGACCCAAATAATCTGTATCATCATACCACCCCATATATTTTAGGTTTAAGGTATTCGGTGGTGGAAAAAAGGCTGAACTAATATTGTGTTGGGTGGTTCCAAGGATCTGTAACTCTTTTCTGTCCGAGTTCTTTCTCGGTAGGAGAGCTAAGAAGAGAGCTGCTTCCCTTTGGAACGATTCTATCTTGGCGGTAATTTGGGTGGTTTTTGAGGAAAGATAGAATTCAAGGAACTTGAAGGGTAGATTTCTGGCTTCTCTTTGGGCTTCCTTCTCAAGGACTTTAAGGGCATGTTTGGCATGCCTCACTGGATTGGACTGTGTTAAATAGTCCTTGAAACCTATGTTTGGTAAGGGAGGGGATTAACTTAAATGAGATTGTATAGTCCAGAGGGGAAAAAAACATCGGACTCGCTTGCCTAGTATAGCGAGCCCGAAACGTGGTTCTCAAAATAGCGATGGTGCTATTTTGAACATGCGAGTCCGACTGGATACCACCACCACTATCAAACACACGAGCTTGACCACCACCACCACGAGTCCACGACCGTCAGACCACCACCATCAAACCCATAACCAGCCACCACAGACCCAATCGAACCATCATCACCACCCAATCAGTCATTCAAAACATCATCACCACCAATAACCAGCCACCACATACTCAGTTCAACAACCATCACCACCCAATTGAACCATCACAACCATTAATTAGTGGATCCAGAGAGAGGGGGGTGGGTGTTTGCAGCCACCACATACCTAGAAGTGGATTTGGCTCTCTTAAAAGTTGGGTGCAGCATGAAGAGAGTGAAAAGAAGGAAGTAAGAAGAAAAGAGAAAGGAAAGAATAGGAAGAAAGAAAGAAAAGAGAAGAAACGGCCTGGAAAGGAAGAAAGGTAAAAGAAAAAAAAAAAGAGGGGGAGGCTTGGGAAGGAAGAAGAAAGGAGGAAGAAAGAAAAAAAAAAGAAGAAACGGGCCAAGAAGGAAAGGAAGAAGAAAAGTCAATAGAGAGAAGAGGAAGGAAGAAAGGGAGAAAAAAAAAAAGAAAAAAAAAAGAAGAGATAAGAGAGTTCGAAGTGCGTGGTTCAATTATTTGTTTGACCGGAGATAAGATAATAAACCACCACATAGTCACTTATTTGTTTTCTTTTTATTTATTTTTAGGTCAAAAAAGCCTTAATTAAAATTAAATATTAGAATTTTATTAATTTTTTATTAATTAAAATTAAATATTAAAATAATTATTTTTTGTTCGACACAACACCAAACATAGGTCTTCATTATTTTTACCCAGTTTCTTAGTCTGACGTAGCACCAAACGTAGGTCAATACTTAATCAAGCTTAGTCCAATCCGAACTAATCCAAGATAGTCCAAGGATTTAGTCCAGTCCATGACAGTCTGCCGTACCCTTTTAGTTTAACCCGTTTGGACTTGTCAGCCATTTTAGACCAAATAATCTGTTCCTTCATGGGAGTTTGGGTGTTTTTAGGGTTGTATCTTTAGGTCTTTGATTCCGATTGACTCCTTGTTCATTTTGTTTTTTACTTCTCTATTTTCTCTTCAATTTTTTTTTTTTAAATATTGAAAAAAATACTAATATTTTGACCAGTAATCCACCTGGAGTAGATGAAACAAGAACAATAATTCAACAAGCTACATCTAGTTTAACACTACAAAATTATTCAAGACACCACAGCTTTCCAATCTAAATTTAAAGCAGGATAGATAGAAGCCAAAAGTGCTGCCCAATACTTGACCGTCTCCTACACCTCCTCCACTTCCATCTCCCTAGTACCAAGATCTGCTTGTTTCTTTATGAGAAAATAGCCCAAATAGTACCCATCACCATGCAACCCCATTTTACTCTAGCCTGTTTTTCACCATCCAAACCTTGATTTGATTAAATAAAGGCGTATTTATTGCAGTGCCCCTTGAAACTATGGTCGTCTCACTTTGCCCCTGAAAGTCCAAGTGACCCACTTTACCTCTTTGGCCCAAGCTTGCCATTCCATCTTGCCCCTTACTGTTAAGTCCATCCAAAAGTCTGTTAAAGTTGATGACATGGCAGGGGTATTTTAGTCATTTAGTACACATGAGTTATTTCCCACCAATCTGGGTGATGTGGCAAAGTGGACCCCACCTCCAGCATCCAAACCTCTGATTATACACACAATTTCCCTCAATCATCCAATTAGAGGACGACCAAGACCCAGAAATCACCCCCTTCACATGTCTCTGCTGCTGCTGCACACTTCTCTTGCTCCTCCTCCTCCTCCTCCTCCTCCTACTCTTTTCCTTCTCTATTGACCTTGGATTTGGACTTGGAGATTAATAATACTCCACAACTTCCATATCAAGCTTCAAACTTTCTGGTTCTTCAGATTTGGGGCACAATGGAACAGACATTTCAGCCTCTTGTGGTGGGTCCTGCTGATTTTGAAAATTGGTGACTCCAGAGCTTTGTGTTTTGCGACTGCGGCTTTGTTGCCGGGGAGAGTTGGATCTTCTTGGTTTTTTCAGTCAAAAGGATTCTTCATTAAGCCCAACAAAAGGGGACAAAAGGAGCTGTATAGAGCCAAGATCGAAAGATCTCAAAAGAAATAAATACTGAGAAAGTAAACACAAACGAAATACCAGTTAGTGCACAAAATCTTTTCCAGCCACAACGATTAGAACCCATTTGGTGGACAAGGGATTCCATCAGATACCAACAATTATCCTTTGCCTGCCAAGCCCCATCTTGGATCTAGGTAGGTTTTTTTTGTTTGTTAATGTTTTTAAATTTTGTATTGTACAGTTGTTTTTATTTGTATTTTTGGTCCATACTGGAGGTGGGGTCCACTTTGCCACATCACCTAGGTGGGTAAATAACCCACATATACGAAATAACTAAAATACCCACGCCACATTAACAGACTTTTGGATGGAGTTAATGGTAGGGGGCAAAGTGGAACAACAAACTTGGGTCAAGGGGGTAAAGTGGGTCGCTTGGACTTTCAGGGCAAAGTGAGATTTGACCATAGTTTCAGAGTGCACTGCTGTGAATAAGCCTTAAATAAATAACACCATGATCTTTTTTATGCCCCCATTGGTGTATTTTGTGCAAGAGTGAAGGGGAGACTCTGGATTATGTCTTCTTATCGTGCCGGTTTAGCTGTAAATGGCATTCTTTATTTATAGAGATTAATGCTAGTTGGGTGGCACTGGCACTAAAAGACTGCTTTTCTTTGCTGGGTGGGAAATTTAAAGTATTGGGTGGTGGAAAGAAGGCTAAAGTATTATGGGGCTGTATGGTGATGACTATTATTTGGGTTATTTGGTTGGAAAGAAACCAAAGGATTTTTAAAGATGTTAGGGGGATGGAAGTGGAGGTGATGCGGGAGAAGGTCAAGTATTGGGCGGCACTTTGGGCATCTGTTTCTCCTGATTTTAGGAACACTTTTATTTCTGACATTGTTTTAGACTGGAAGGCTGTAGTGTCTTGAATTGTTTTGGTTTGTTAAACTAGTTGTAACATGAGTTATTGTTTTCTCTGATATATTCATGGTGGATTGCTTATCTACGGTGCTGTGCAGCTTCTTTTGTGTAATAAAATTTCATAGTTTCGTGTTTTTTTTGAAAAGGAAACAGAATTTTATTACAAAAAGACAATAAAAAAACAAGGTGGCCAAGATGGCCACAAAAGAAGTCTAAAGAGCGAAATAGAAGTTAGACCAAGAAAACGAAAAACTTATAGCAAAAGAACAAAACTTAAAACAAACTTTGACTGGAAAGCTAGCGGATGGCTGCATTCCAATCCAGCCAAATGCTCCTAAAGGACATATCTATAAAGTATGTAGAAGTGAGGAGCACAATCCAACTTTCTCTCATAGCTTCTCCGTTTTGCGACAAGGTCCTAAAAATCAATCTATTTAGTTCCAGCCAAACCACCCAGATGACCGCCAGTACGATACAACCCCATAAAACCTTGGCTTTCTTCCCATTTCCTTGAAGATGAAAGAAAAGAGCAAGATAAGAAAATGATCCACGCTCTCTCCCAAATTCTTGAACAAGATGGATACTTTATGTATAATTGCATAGTTGCTTTCAAAATTGGAGTACTAATTAGATGAGTGCCCATTTTGATAAATGAAGATCTCCTATGAGGTCCAATGATGAGGACCAACCATCTACATCCATACAATAGTCATACCAAGTCATGTACCCAGGTTTAATTTGGTTTGTATTTGACATAACTAGAGATTTTTTTTTTGGTTTGAATTTGCATTTTCTTCCATCTATTACTTTAAAAAATCATGAAATTTTTTGGATTTCTTTTGCTGACATCAGGAAATGTCGGTACTGATGTAAAATATTGGGGAAGTATCGTTGACATGGGGGAAGAAATGGGTTTACCCCCTAGTATCGGTGTCAACACTTTGAAAATCCTACATATTGGTCGATATATCGGTGTATGGGCTGATATTTTCGTCCTTGATTGTAGGAGGATCATTAATGGACATATGACAGCTAACGAGCTATGCATGTCTTACACTACTTGTGAACAATCTTCCTCTTTTTGTTTTGCTGGTTGCTTCTTGCATGACTACGATTTTTGTCAGTTACATTTTATTGTTTCCATGTTTCTTTTCATGGCACCAGGAGATGCTTCCTAACTTGCTTGACCGGATTCTGCCTGCATGTAAAGCTGGCCTGGAGGACCCCGATGATGATGTTCGAGCAGTAGCTGCAGATGCCTTAATACCTACAGCAGCTGCTATTGTTGCTTTAAATGGTCAAACTTTGCATTCTATAGTGATGCTGCTTTGGGATATATTACTTGATTTGGATGATTTAAGTCCATCCACTAGCAGGTATTTTTATTTGCTAGCTGATATGTAAGACTCGTTACTTGATGTCAGTCTCTTTTGCCATCGATATCAGCATCAGTCTTTTTAAGGTAATGAGTGCAATAAGCTAATATATGTGTTACACAGAGAAAGAAACAAGAAAAAAAATAACTGTACTGTCACTTCAGCAAACAGGGGGATTATTTTCAAATTATTTGAGGATCCTATAACCTAAATACATATGTTGTCGAATTAGTTGTTCAGCTATTTTACATGGTGTTGCTGCATTGTTGCACATATTAATATTATGCATTGTGTCATTCACGAGTAGCAGATACACGTCTGAACGAAATGCTTGCATCCGTGCCATTTAATTTGATTTTAAGTTTGGTATGCCAAATAGGTACATATTTTTCACTTGGTTGCTAATTTGTGGGACATGGAAGAGGAAGTGGATTTACTGTGATATAGGATTAGGTTCTTAGCTTCTGGGAGGGTTGATACTTGTGATATGGTTTAGAGGAGAAGACCTTCTGTTTGCTTCTTCCTGTGTCATGCTATTGCAGAGATGGAGCAGAGTGTGAACCATTCATTCCTGCAATGCGTGATTGCTCTCTCTCTGATTACAGCTGTTCAGGGAGGCCAATGTGTTTGGGTTATCCCAGCTGAGTGTGTGGGTTTATTTGGCAAGAGGCATAAGGTTCTTGATTGAAGGAAGAATGGCATGGTTCTGGAAGATGCTCAGTGATGGCTATTTTTTGGGTAATTTTGGGGTAGGGGAATACATTTGACAATGAGGGGTGAGGAGATTCATAATTTGTGGGAGAGGGTTCGCTTTTGGGCATGTCTTTGGGCTTCAATCTCTTCTTGGTTTAAGGATATTTCTTTCTCTACAATTTTTGCAAATTGGAATGCAGCTGTTTATTATTGTTTTTAGTTTCTTTTCTGGTTCTCTGTTGTCTTTTGAGGTTGTTATGTGGACATCTTGCCCATTGTGTTGTAGTTTTCCTATCTTCTTAATGCATTTTTGTTTCCTAATAAAAAAGAAATTAGGTTCTTAGATTCTCCTTCGATATCTTGGTGAAGTCGCTTTAGAGATGTTTTTTTTTTTTTTTTTTTGAATAGAAACATTGTATTGATAATCAAGAGGAAAAATCCTCGATCAAAACAAACAAGACCTAAAAAAGAGAGTGTCTGACCTACTAAGATTTAAAATAATTCTGTAATTAAAAAACACAAAAAACACAAAAATTTCAGTAAAATGATCTTAAGACTGCCATCATGTCTCTCATGATGGTAGAGTAGTGATAGTCCTTGAACTGGCCCTAAACCCTAAACCCTAAACCCTAAACCCTAAGGATTCCAACTCTCTTCCCCTTCCCCGAAACCCTCAAATTGATACTAAGGAGTTCAAAACACCCTTTAGGAATCACCCACTCCGCTCCGAGAGCATCCAACATCCTCCACCATAATTTTAGAGAATACGAACAATGAATGAACAGGTGATCAACGTTTTCTGCATTCTCTTTGCAAAGAACACACCAAGAAGGGGATAAGCACATCTTTGGTTGCCTCCTTTGAATGCTATTGCAAGTATTAATCTTGCCATTTGCTGCCAGCCACACGAAAAATTGAATTTTAGGAGGTGTCTTTGCCTTCCAGATTGAGATGGAAGGGGGGAAGACATCCCTGGTGGTAGAGAGAAGAAAAGACCTAAAAGACTTGCAGGAAAAAGAACCCTGCTCCTCAATCTCCCATGATCTCCGATCCAATCTAGAACTATTTAATCTCACCTTCCCCAATATATCCAAAAGTATTACCACTTCTGCTATTTAGTCTGTCCTTTCTTGTTTGTATATGCATCAAAGTCTGTAGATAAATCATGGATGTTTCTTTTTGCAGTGTAATGAATCTGTTGGCTGAAATATATTCCCAGGAAGAGATGATTCCTAAGATTTTTGAGGCATTGACTTTGAAAGAGAACATTGAGTTTGATTTAAATGAACTGGGTAGCATTGATGATACTGGAGAAGGCATAAGTTTGCAGGATAATCCTTTTATGTTATCAACATTGGCGCCTCGTTTGTGGCCCTTTATGAGGCATAGTATCACATCTGTCCGTTATTCAGCTATCCTCACTTTGGTAAGCTACTCTTGGCTCTGTTTGTCGTGTTTGTACAATTGCCTTTTGTGAACACAATGATTTTTGTTTCCTATACAAAAGTAAAAATGAAGGATGAATCTAGGTTATCATTTAGATCAGCAAATCAAAAAGCCTGGAATGGAAAATCTGCTAATCCTGTGTTGGTTGCCAGCGAAGTTATGAAAGCATGCTTATGAGGCAATGCATAAACCAAGCCAGTTTCACCCACCACTCTTTAGAAAGGGTACCCCTATTGGCCTTGCAAGTGTTAACACTATTAAAGAAACCAGATTTCCTGGTGTCCGCACCACATTGTGACCGTTAGTTGTTGTTCACTGGACAACAACACAGCCATTACAAATAATGTGAAGCTGATTTGATCTAGCTGATTGGATGCATTAACCATAATGTGACTCACTTGAGTTTCAGACTGATATCCAAGTCATGAACATGGTTAACATTAACATCAATAGGAATACCAGTTGCATTCCAGTTGTCCCGCCACAAGAATGTGTTTTCACCATTACCACCTATTTTTTGTTATATGTTGATTTTACTGTGTTAAAGACAGTAATTATTTTATGTGCACTAATTTGCGGGTGACTTTTATAAAATGGGCAATTGATCATGGTTCAGATGTACATAAGTATGCTTATAGATATATTCATGCGCGTGTGTGGGGGTAAGTATGTGTTTGCACTTGCGTGTATAAGTATATGTTTGTTTTTCTGTGTTTGTAATATGTATACTAACAGTTAACTCTCTCTAATATTTTCATTTGCAGGAGCGACTACTTGAAGCAGGATACAAAAGGAGCATCTCTGAGCAATCAAGTACTTCATTTTGGCCTTCTTTTATTTTGGGCGATACCCTTCGGATTGTTTTCCAGAATTTGCTGCTTGAATCAAATGATGAAATTTTGAAACGTTCAGAGAGAGTTTGGAGGCTCCTTATTCAGGTTATTTATTTAGTGATATTTAAGAGCTTTCATTTTTTGCTTTTTTGTTCTTTATTTATCTGCTTCTTGTTATGTTTTTCTGTTTCCAAAGGTTCAAAGGATAAGAAAATGTGATTTTCTCTCACATGGTGTCTGTGTTTCACTCACATATATGTTATAGAGACACCTTATGTTTCCATCTTTGCTCTTGTGTCCTTACATATTGATGTATTTCTGTCACTAGCATCATTTTAACAGGTTTAATTACTAAGACTGAAAGCATTTACCCCCTTCTTATTAACACTGTTAATTTTAGTTAGGATACTTCTGTGTCATTATCTTTTAGTTTCTCTGCATTGTTTCGTCCTCCCCCTGTACAGATCTATTCTTATTATTTTTAATTTTTTTCTTCAATAAATAAAAATTTCACGAACTAAACTATGAATGTAAATTCATAATAACTATCCATGGGTTGACCAGACATTCAGAAAGGTCGTAAGAACCATCAATGTTTTGAATTTTGTGTTGGCCAAAGATATGGATTCTCATCGAATGTATTTAAATGTGTTCCTAAGTTCTTTGGAAGTCTGAGAAGCTGAAATTCAGTGGTAGAAGTTCAAAGTGTAATGAGTGCATCTTATTCTTTTGGTCTTTTAAAATTAGAGATAGATATGCAACCTCTTCTTATCAGTAAATCATTACTTCTGGGAGGATTTTCAACCAACCTGATTTTAAAGCTTGCTTGAGTAATATATCAACGAGATTCCTCAATGTTATGCTAAGAATAGCTGGGATTTCCAGAAGAAGATCCCAAAGAAAAAAGCACAAATGGATCTTGTAGGATTCCCAAGAGATTTTTCGATTTCTTCCCGAAGTAGATGCTTATTCTTCTGCTGCTCGCGTTCCTTTAGTAGCTGGGAATCTAGGGATAATTATTATTGTTATAGCTTCCTGGTAAGCCTATAGAATGTTAATAATGGTGCAACTTATTTCAATCTGATCATAATTCCTGAACTGTGCAGTAATCTTATATTCTTTAAAACTTGTTGCTAATATCGTAGAATTCAAATTAATAATTTTTTTTGAGACACTATGGCTTCGGGGTCGACCTGGTAAGAAAAACGAAAACCTTGAAAAATTGGTATCTTACACCATAATAAAATACAACTACATGCCTCTGATATTTGTTAAAAAAGGTGATGGACAAGTTCTTGTACCTACTTCAGTCTTAGCTTATTTCTCTTGAGCCCTAGCTCTTGCTTGGCGTTTCTTGCTTTTGGGCACTTAAAAAATCACTTTATTCTCATGCTTTTGATAGCATTTGACTGATGCTTATTTGTCAAATATTATGCCTGGTCTCACTCTTTCTCTTCTCTTCTCTCTCTCTCTCTCTCTCTCTCTCTCTCTCTCTCTCTTTCTCTCTCTCTCTTCTTTGATTATACCAGTGTCCAGTAGGGGACTTGGAAATTGCTGCAAGGTCTTATATGTCCTCTTGGATAGAACTTGCAACTACTTCGTATGGGTCAGCATTAGATTGTACAAAAATGTTTTGGCCTGTTGCTCTCCCTCGAAAGAGTCATTTTAAAGCAGCTGCTAAAATGAGAGCTGTGAAGCTAGAAAATGAGTCTTGTAGAAACATTGGGTTGGAGTCTGCAAAGGCGTCAATTCCAGAGGAAAAATCTGGAGATGCTTCAACCAATAATGTTCAGATAGTTGTTGGTGCAGATGTCGAGTTGTCTGTAACTCATACCCGAGTGGTTACAGCAGCAGCATTGGGAGTTTTTGCTTCCAGATTGCAAGAAGGCTCAATGCAGTATGCAATTGATCCACTTACTAATGCCCTTACCTCTTTATCTGGTGTCCAGCGGCAGGTACCATTTGATTTTAACTGCAACTTTCCACCATCCTCCCCTTCTCTCTTGGTAAAGTTTAACTTAAATCTAACCAGTCTTCATATTCTATCAGGTAGCAGCTATGGTTCTTATTTCTTGGTTCAAAGAGATTAAAAGTGTGGGTATGTTTGAAAATGCTGGGGTTATGCCAGGTTTTCCACACCATCTGAAAAACGGGATGTTGGATTTGTTAGCATGCTCCGATCCTGCCTTCCCTACAAAAGATTCACTTCTTCCTTATGCCGAGCTTTCAAGAACTTATTGTAAAATGCGTTGTGAGGCTAGTCAGTTGTTAAAAGCTATTCAATCGTCTGGTATGTTTCAGAGTTTTTTGTCTACTAGTAAAATTAACTTGGAAAGCTTGAGCGTGGACAGTGCAATTAATTTTGCATCGAAACTTCCAATGTTATGTAATGATGTTGCGGGGAATGATTCTGTGGAAAGGCACATTGTTGATGGCATAGAGTCAGCAAAACAACAACTTCTGACAACTTCAGGATATTTAAAATGTGTTCAGGTATGTCTGGGATAATTGAAGATTGTTTGATGTGCTGTTTTAAGTGCTTGATATGCTATGCAATACAAAAATATTAATCTGTATTTATAGAGAATTCTTGGAACAGTATTTGACCTATTTTCATCTTTATTGAAGGTTTTGTTTTTAGATTTTCCTGAATTCTTAAATTATATTTTAGATGTCACATTTTGTTCACTGTTACTTTATGGAACAATTTGCAGAGCAATCTGCATGTTACTGTTTCTTCCCTTGTTGCTGCTTCGGTTGTTTGGATGTCAGAGCTTCCTGCACGACTAAATCCCATTATTTTGCCTTTGATGGCTGCCATCAAAAGAGAACAGGTAATCTCCTAGATATAATGCTTTCTAAATTATTAAGATGCTCATTTAATCTAATATATCTTAAATTCCTTTGGAAGGAGGAAATACTGCAAGAGAAGGCAGCTGAGGCACTTGCAGAGCTAATTTCTCATTGTATATCACGTAGGCCTAGCCCAAATGATAAGTTAATTAAGAATATATGTAATTTGACATGCTTGGATCCTAGTGAAACACCCCAAGCTACAGTCATCTGTTCCATAGATATTATTGATGATCAAGATCTTCTCTCCTTTGGGAGAAATTCTGGTAAGCAGAAATCAAAGGTTCATGTGCTGGCTGGTAGTGAAGATCGGTCAAAGGTTGAGGGCTTTATTAGCAGACGAGGATCTGAACTCGCGTTGAGGCATCTCTGTGAGAAGTTTGGTGCTTCATTATTTGATAAGCTTCCTAAACTGTGGGATTGCCTCACTGAAGTTCTTAAGCCTAGTAGTATTGAGTCCCTTAGTCCTGCAGATGAAAAGAAAATTACACAAGCTATGGAATCTGTGAAAGATCCCCAGATCCTGATAAACAATATCCAGGTTCGTCTCAGCCTTGATTTTGTTGGTTGTTGTACTTGATATTAAATATTGTGACACTGCATTCTGTACTCATATTTTTGCGTACGATAGTGTCTTGGTATCATTATTTATCTGAAGGTGGTATGCATATGCAAATTCACTGTACTATGTACAAAATTATTTTGAGAACTTTTCGCTCTCTTGTAACTTCAGTGATGGGATATGAGATCATTAATGCAGTATCAGGAGTCCGTGGCCAGTCAGGTTGTAGAATTATGGAAAAATAATTGCAACAAGTCTCTCTGGTGAGTATATTTGGGCTTATGGGTGATCTTGAAAAGAAAAGCAGTCATGAAGTGAGATGTCCTGGATCTGTGAACTGGAAACTGAAAGCTCTAACAATTCTTACTTGTTGGATATAGTCTAAAACAATAGAAGGTAGTGTGGGTATTTCTTATAGCTTGTTTTGGGAATGCTAGGATCTAAGGGACTAAGTTGTGGTTTCAATTTGGTTTTGAAATATGTAATGCAATAGAATAAGATAAGAGAGCTAGAAGAGAAGAATAAGATGAAATCTAAGAAGCACATCCATCGTTTCTCAACATGACAAATTGGATAGAGCTGCTCTCAATCCTCAAAATCATGATTTTATCCTCTTGGGGTATACTAACAAGGTTGCTTTTCTGGATTGAACAATATTTGGGAATGATTTGGTCCTCGATCTATGTGTCATAAGTCCTGGTTAAAAATTCTCAACCCAATCTCTTAAATGCTAAGTGATAAGATTCTGTTCATTAAACTGCTTATTTGGCATAAGGTAAAAGGTAAAAAATGGAACTTATCCAATCTTCTTGTCTTTGGACGAAGACCCAAAAAAGGCCCATCTTATCAAAAATATATTTTGTTCATGTTATTTATGTAGCTATCTGGTGCACTCTGTGCGTTAGCTGCTAAAGATTTATTTTGTCCATAACAGTTTTTATGTATCAGTTAAGGACCTTTTTTCTTCGACTTTTTTTTTTTTCCTTGTTTGACCTTTCTAGTTTTACTTAAATTTAAATTAGCTCATAGCCACTGCATTGGAATATGAGATTGGAACATATATATATATATATATATTTATTACATATGGTAGACCCTCAAAATTTGTGGACCTACTGTTGCGAAACTTTATTTTTGACTCATTGTTTATGTCAAATCCGGTTTGCAGGTAGTACGTTCTATTGCTCCTATGCTAAATGAGGATCTGAAATCAAAACTATTCACCCTTCTTCCATACATCTTTAAGTGTGTTCGCCATTCTCATGTTGCTGTTAGATTGGCTTCGTCTAGATGCATCACTTCAATGGCCAAGTCAATGTCAATGCATGTGATGGGAGCTGTAATTGAAAATGCCATACCCATGTTAGGGGATGCGACATCTGTGAATGCCAGACAAGGTGCAGGCATGCTTATTAGGTTGCTTGTTCAGGGTTTGGGTGTCGAGCTGGTTCCATATGCTCCTTTGTTAGTTGTTCCTCTTCTAAGGTGTATGAGTGATTGTGATCAGTCAGTCAGACAGAGTGTGACTCATAGTTTTGCTGCCCTTGTACCTCTTCTTCCATTGGCACGGGGCCTCCCTCCACCTGTTGGACTAAGTGAAGGTTTCTCTCGAAGTACAGAGGATGCAAAATTTCTGGAGCAACTACTTGACAACTCACATATTGATGATTACAAGCTTTCTACCGAACTGAAAGTGACACTGAGGAGGTAGCTAAAACACTGAACCTGGACTGAACCTGGACTGAAAGTTAAACTTGGCTTTTAATTTTCTTTAAAACAACTACTGCTACAAGTCTAATTTGACATTAGGGTGATCTGAAATATGTTTCTACTTAGTTTATTCATGATGGTAGCTAAATTTAAATCCCTTTTGCGAAAGTGAGAAAAAGTTAAAAATGATTATATATCTTAGTGGTAGAATTAGTTAAGAAACTGTTTACTAAAACAAAAGCTTAATTTATTTAATCTCATTATATGTATATATATCCTACTTCTCTCAACCCTAGGGTTAGGGTTTGTGGTACGCTGGGGGCTGTGTATGCTGGAGAATAGTGTTCTTTTATTTGTTTTGTTGGATGGGAAGTTTGGGGTATGGACTATGGAAGCACCCTATTTTCTTTCTTAGATGTTTATTAATTGCCTCAGTGGCTCATTATGTTGTAAAAGATGTAACAAAGTAGTTTAGATAGTCAGATTTAATTCTATTGGTTATCCAAGTATTTACTTAATCTGGACAAAAAAATGAGTGCATTATCTTATGGGTTGAGATAGTCTCTGTCATTATATTTTTTCATTCACTTGTTTGTAATATGTTGTTTATTTCCTGGTGACATCCCACCCGTCTAGTATGTATAGTCTGACAACCAAGATTGTCAGTTTTCTGAATCAACATTCCGGTTCTGAACTTTTTTTGTTGGTTATAAGCATAAACAGAAACATATAAATTAGTTTTCCTTTTTACTTAATCAACACTCTGGTTCTTAACTGTCGTTGTTGGCTATAGGTATCAACAGGAAGGTATAAATTGGCTGGCCTTTTTAAAACGTTTCAAGCTTCATGGAATTTTATGTGATGATATGGGGCTTGGTAAGACACTTCAAGCATCAGCTATTGTGGCTTCTGATATAGTTGAGCATCACACTTTAAATGACAGCGATCTCTCACCATCTTTAATTATTTGTCCGTCAACACTTGTTGGACACTGGGCCTATGAGATAGAGAAGTACATTGATGTTTCGGTGATATCCACTCTCCAATATGTTGGTTCTGCTCAAGAGCGCTTTTTTCTTCGAGAACATTTTGAAAAGCATAATGTGATAGTAACATCATATGATGTGGTCCGCAAAGATATTGATCATCTTGGAAAGCTTCTCTGGAACTATTGTATCTTAGACGAAGGACACATAATCAAGAATGCGAAGTCAAAAATAACAATTTCAGTGAAGCAACTGAAAGCCCAGCATCGTTTGATATTGAGTGGAACACCAATCCAGGTTGGTGACTCACAGGTGTATGAAATTACCTCAAAACTTGGCAATTGTCCATTTTTCCTGAAAGTGACCTACCTTTTGTTGCAGAATAACATCATGGATTTGTGGTCCCTTTTTGATTTCCTAATGCCCGGGTTTCTTGGAACAGATAGGCAGGTGTGTTCATCTTATTCGGTTAAATTCTATTCATTTTGTCCTGTTTCTTGGATCTATATATCTGGTCAAGAATATCTTGCAGAGAACAATATCTTATAGAAGAAAACATAGAAAACAAATTGTGAAAATACAGGGGCCTTTTGGTTTCAGGCTAGAGGCACAATCGAAATGGGACCCTGCATGCATTTTCGTATAGGTACCCCCATAAATTCTTTGAGGATGTCTAAAAGATTAGATTTGTTCTTGTTGCTTCATAGTTTAGTAAAATCCCGCTAGAAGATATTAGGGAATAGTATATTTTGGAAATGTATTTTCAGGAGGAGGGGATTTATTGAACTTTTTAAAATTTGCCTGCTCATAGCTGAACCAGCATTTGGATAATTTTCTGGATGTTTAAGTTGAATTGCTTTCTGTCATACAAGATTATTGGGTATTGGGTGATGGATTTAGTCCAAAAAATTGGATTGTTTTGGCCTGAGTGGTGATCCTTATTCAGGGTTACGTGAAAATTATTATATTTGGTCTAGGGTAACATAGTATTGAACCTAAGTTTGGGACCTTTTGGAAGCTAAAAATTGGAAGCCTAGTTCCCCAACCGACTCCCCTTTATGCCAGCCCTGAGTACTGTATAAATCTCAAGTCATGATCATGCAGCCAAATTATGCAGTGCCAAATGACTTTGCAAATAACCATTGCATTTATTCCTCTGTTGCTTATTGTTGATTTTTCTATGTGAATTAGTGAAGATCGTGTGCATGCATGGTTTACATTGCTCTTTTTTACCGTATGTGCTAAGCATCCCATAAATGTGATGGATGTAATGTCTGTTTTGAACACAATTTTGACATGTTAGATGAAAAAAAAAAGGCACTTCAGGTCTCTTTTCATGCACTTGATTGAATTGATATGCCTCAACTAACTAAATTTAGTGGCTTTGATGATGGAGGTGGTCATTATTGTTATTGTTGATATATCTTAAATCATAATTTACTGATTGTGATGATGATTAAAATGTTACATCGAAGAAATATTTATGACTAAATTGTTAGTATTTTGAAAATGCTGAACAAGTCTGTGTGTCTACACTCTACACGCTGTAGCCCTGAGTTTTATGTATGTGTTAGATTTGTGGTTATTTTCCCTGACTTGCATTGCATCACAAGTCCATAACCTGATAAGACTAAATTTTGGTTTGAACTATGTAGAGATGGTCCAGAATATAGTGAACAAGCCAAGACCTTTTTATCAAATCTATTTGGATGCAAAAAGAGAGTTTAAAATGAAATTTCCAAATGTTATCCAAAACTGAAGATCACAAGAGATGATACCAATTGAAAGAAGAGAAAGTATTCATAATCAACTAATCTTTGGAAAATTTCCATTGTCAGTCGTGTGAATTAAGTAGTTTAATTTATTTTTATTTCTCCTTGACTTGCTAATCTATTTACGATGTGAGATGTATGTAAATTTTGTATGTAATACTGTTGTACACTTTTCTCCTTCTTGACTGTCAATTTGGTGTTAAATAAATTGTTGATTTCATGACTTTGGACAGTTCCAAGCCACTTATGGAAAACCACTGCTGGCAGCCAGAGATCCTAAGTGCTCTGCCAAGGATGCTGAAGCAGGAGCACTTGCTATGGAAGCATTGCACAAGCAGGTGGATGAATAGTTTCTTTATACCATCCTCATTTCTTTATCTTGAAAAGAAATTGTGCTATTTGGTGTGTGCTTCGACACAGGAGAGTATTGAATGGAAAATACCTTATTTGCTATATAAAAAAATTACCCAATATGAGGTGGAAAAATGGCTTGGTTTCTTTGACAGTGGAGGGTAGTCTTCTGGAACAAGAGTATGCGGTTCACCATACCAACCACCTTAATTTATCTACTTATCCTTCAAAATGGTCAATGGTAGCCTAATGGCCATCGACTGACCCTCTTGCCACCCACCATGCTTATAATTGGCCAACCCTTTGTCAGTGGTTAGATGATCCCCTGGATAGCTGACCATGCCATATCACTGGAAACTGTTTCCCAAATTTAATGATGAAGTCAAACAATTATAAGAACATATGATTTTTTTAATTTTTTTTAATTGTGCTTTCCAAGTACCGGAACTTTTGAAAAGGGCAAACTATTGTTCTCTGACATTCTTTTCTGGTGAAGTATGCATAGTGTGGTATTTACTCTTTGCATAAGTAACAAGAGTTTTGGCCGAGATGGTTGTGTTCTTCTAACTAAAGCATCTTCTATCAAATAGGTCATGCCTTTCCTCCTCCGTCGAACAAAAGATGAAGTCTTGTCTGATCTTCCTGAGAAAATTATTCAGGACAGGTTCTGTGACCTGAGCCCTGTACAATTAAAATTGTATGAACAGTTTTCTGGTTCACATGTGAGACAAGAGATCTCAAGTATGGTAAAACTAAACGAGTCAGCAGATACAGGAGGACGCAGTGATTCACCCAGAGCGTCTTCTCATGTGTTTCAGGTAATTTTGTTATTTATTCTTGTATGTGATTCAATTTTTTATTTTTTTATCAGTCAGTTCCAATCATATAATATATGTTATCTGGTCTTGCAGGCACTTCAGTACTTGCTTAAACTCTGTAGTCATCCATTGCTTGTTCTTGGGGAAAAAGTTCCAGATTCCATTGCATGCCTTTTGTCAGAGCTATTACCTGGAGTCTCTGACACAATTTCGGAATTGCATAAGCCATACCACTCTCCCAAACTAGTTGCACTTCAGGAGATCCTTGAGGAATGTGGAATAGGTGTCGATGCCTCTAGTTCTGAGGGTTCCATAAGCGTGGGGCAGCACAGAGTCTTGATTTTTGCTCAACATAAAGTAATGCTCATTTATATTTGACTAATTCTCTTTTATGTTTAGCCCTAATTTATGGCCTATAATGTACAATGGCATCTCATGCAGGCATTTCTGGACTTAATTGAAAGAGACTTGTTTCATAGTCATATGAAGAGGTTGGTCTCCTAAACCTATATTATACAGAGGTTGCAAATAGGTTGCTATGTTAGTGTCACACCCACCTTTGTTATTTTCTCTATAGATTAGTTCTGTTGACATTATTAAGACTGTTTTGCAGTGGAAATGTATTCTAGTGTTAGGTTTAGTTGACAATGTTGACCCACAATTTTGTTGATCAGTAACATTATTAAATAACTTCAACTATTTCTAATGGAAATCTGGTTATTTGTTTTGATGTGTGATATGAAAATTTGCAAATTAATACTCCAGAAATTAATGGCCAAGTACACATGACAAACAAGTAATTAGGTATTGTGGGCATAAAAGAATCATCCTCTAGTTTAGTGAACTTGTGCAATTGTCTTCAGATAGGAATTGATACAGTTTCTTACAATTCACACAATGTTTTTTTCAACATTAACCGGTCTAATTTTCTTACATGTTGCTTGAAAGCAGTGTAACCTACTTGCGGCTGGATGGGTCAGTTGAACCTGAAAAACGTTTTGATATTGTTAAGGCTTTCAATTCGGATCCTACAATCGATGTTCTGCTGCTCACAACCCATGGTTGGAATTCTCTCTTTTTGCATGTGAAGTAGATTGACTATTAGGGTGATATTAAAACTTAAATCACTTTTTGCAGTTGGTGGGCTGGGCTTGAACTTGACATCTGCAGATACTCTCATTTTTGTGGAGCACGACTGGAACCCAATGCGGGATCATCAGGTGACCATCTTATGCTGTCTTTATCCTCTAAGGAGTACAAATTTTTCCTCTCTTGAAATTGGATACACATGCCATCTGTCACATTTAAGTCTAGTGTTGAGGAATAAATCTGAGATGATTTGCAGGAAGCTCCCTAGTTGCTCATTATTGTTTTGAGTTTCTGTTAAGATGCTGCAACCTCTGCTTTAGAGGTCACTGTAAAGTAAAAATTGAGCATCTTACTGTTGTTTACTTGCAGGCAATGGATAGAGCACACAGATTAGGTCAGAAAAAGGTTGTCAATGTCCATCGTCTGATTATGCGTGGTACCCTCGAAGAGAAAGTTATGAGCTTGCAAAAGTTTAAGCTTTCAGTAGCTAATGCAGTCATTAATGCCGAAAATGCTAGTATGAAAACAATGAATACAGACCAATTGCTTGATCTATTCGCAACTGCAGAAACATCTAAAAAGGTATTGCTGGCTGGTCCTATCTTCTGCCTGTTTATGCCAATGTTGATCTCTTTTCCTTATATGGACAAATATCTTTCTTTGTTTCTCTTCATCTTTAATCAAATTTTTATTTTTTTATTCTTCCAGTTTGTTTTTCTTTCTTTGTTTCATTTTTGGTTTGGATGTCAATGACAAGTTATAAATATTTATTTATTTTCAAGGGAACTGTGTCTAAGCATCCTGATGGAAAATTTGATGGAGATATGAAGTTACCGGGCACGGGAAAGGGGCTAAAAGCAATTCTTGGTGGGCTGGAGGAGCTGTGGGATCAATCACAATATACCGAAGAATACAATCTCAGCCAGTTCTTGGCAAAGCTTGATGGCTGATGCCCAGCTTTCCACTCTGTACAGTGTATATTTCTGAAGCAAGTTGGGACCCAAATTTTGACATTATAGCTCTACCGACCCCTTCCCCTTTGGTTGGTTCTCCCATATCCTTTGTATTTTCAGGAGCTTTGGGGCAAGAGTTGATTGAGTGGTTCCAGGAGTGAGCCTGGCGTCAGGGTTAATGGTTATTGGTGTCAAAAGACCAAATTTTTTTTTGGAGGGCAAGAGAATTGTATATGCCGGATATTGTAAATACAATCAGCTTTATTTAAGTTGGCCATTATCTGAAGTATTTTGCATTGATATTATCCACCTTATGTTCGCTGAAAATGGCCCGGTATATAAAGCAATAATGCTAGCCAGTATTAGCCATTGGGGAGACCACCTTAACATGACATTTAACGTGTGGAACAAACAATTCCAGAAATTGAGATCTTATTCAATCAGACGCTACCAAAGTTCGCTCCGATGGAAAGAGAGATGCAGAAAAAATAATTAGGGTTTTATGGTTTGTGTTTTCAGGGTTTTGGGTGTTTGCAGGGGTTTTTGATGTTTTAGGGTTTCATTCTTTTCAGGGGTTTCTTTGTGGTGGTCATATTTCTTCACAATTTTTAAAATTCCAAGTTCGCCATCTATTTTAGTCCAACAACAAGGGCATTTAGTAATCAACTTGGTTTCTATTTCAATTCATGTGAATTTAGTAAACAATTTATAAGGAATTAGTAGTATCACTCCTATTCTAATCCCATATGGTTTAGAAAACAACTTCAGTAAGAATATGGAATCTAACTTTTCTCAATTCAACCAATCCTCAATTCAATTCCTACTAATCCGATTACGGATTAGTAAACATTCCATTTGTGTGTGGATTGAATTAAGGTTTCAAACCTTTTTGTGTGTCATGATCCTATTTAGCCGCCTTTTCTATGAAAGCACTTGTTTTTAAGGTTTCAGTCCTATTTCTCTGTTTCAAGGTTAAGGGTTTCATTACTATTTTATTGTTATGGTTTAGGGAGGTTGTTTTGTTTGAAAAGGTTTTTAACCCTATTGAAACCCTTTATATATATGAAAACACGTAGGATCAAATTAAGGTTTCAGTCATATTTTTGCGTCCTGGTCCTATGTAGTCCCATCTATATGAAAACACTTGTTTAGGATCGAAATAAGGATTCAGTCTTATTTATGTGTTCTGGTTATATTTTGTTCCCCTCTATACGCAAACATTTGTTTAGCCCTCATCTATATGAAAACACTTTTCACCTCCACCTCTACCACTACCACCACCACCTCCACCTCCACCACTTCCACCACCACCACAACCACCAAATCCACCTCCACCTACACATAGCACAACAATTTCAACATCATGTCTATTTTAGTCATTATTGACAATTACAATAGTTTTATATTAAAATTTACCAACAACATCATGTCCATTTTAATCATTATCCACAGTTACCCTAAACCCTTATATTAAAATTTACCAAACGTTTTGAAACTGTTTTTTATACTAACAACACTTTAAAAATAGGGAGTTTCACTAAAACACCCAAAATGGAGGTTGAAATTATAAAAAAAACCCAACACTCAAAACACTTTATAAACACACCCAAAAAGTTGACTTTGGGGTTGATTTTGGGTGTGTTTCTATATTTAAATAGTGCTTGAGTTTTTTTATAAATACATGTCTAGGATTGAGTTTATTTATAAATTTGTATTAAAAATATTGTTTACCAAACATAAAATTGCTTTACTTTACAACCCATTATTTTCAAAGCACATCATAAGCAGCTTTTAAAAAAAATGATAGCAATCCCAAATTGACCCTTACCTGTAAGATATTGGCATTTCACTCTATTTACCGGTAAGATTTGCGTAGTTTCGAAGGTCAAACCCTCGGTCACCCTTGGAACACCCATCATTTGAAATACTACTACAAGTGAAGCGTTGCAACTTTTGATCCTCTCACAGTATCGATAGGTGTTATCGAACCAGTTCAGTTTTTTTCTTTTATGTTCTTGCAGATATTGTGTGTCCCCTTGAATCCTAAATCTATAATTTGAATTCTCATATTTTAAAAAACAAAATTGACCACTCATAGGCTTTGCCTCAGCAACCCTGACTCACGGTACAGACTGGTATTGTTGAACCTGTTCAGTTTGTTTCATTTATGTTATTGCAGATCTTTTGTGTCCTTGTAAGACATAGCGTTGTAAAATATATAGGCTTTTCCATCTAAAACTTACTGGTAAGATATTGCGTTTTAAAAAAAATAGTATTTTCCGTCATTAAATTACCACTAAGATATTGTGTTATAAGATATATAGGAATTTTACTCTTATCACTCACCGATAAGTTATTGCGTTTTCAGATATATAGGATTTTTTACTCTATAACATATTAGTATGATATTGAGTTTACAGAAAAATAGGCTTTTCACTCATTAAATTACATTTAAAATATTGCATTATCAGATATATATGCTTTTCACTCATTAACTTAGGGGTAATATATTGCGTTTTTAGAAAAATAGGCTATTCACTCAATAAATTACGGGTAAGAAATTGCGTTCTCAGATATATATGCACTTCACACTATAACTTACTGGTAAGATATGATGTTTTCAGAAAAAATAAGCTTTTCACTCATTAAATTACCTGTAACATATTTTGTTATCAGATATATATATACATATATATATATATGCACATCACACGATAACTTACCGATAAGATATGGTGTTTTCAGAAAAATAGACTTTTCAATCATTAAATTACTAGTAAGATATTGCATTATCAGATATATATATATATATATATAGGCACATCATACGATAACTTACTGGTAAGATATCGTGTTTTCAAAAAAATAGGCTTTTCAGTCATAAATTATCGGTAAGATATTGCGTTCTCAGATATATATATATAGGCACTTCACACTATAACTTACCGGTAAGATATGATATTTGTTAGAAAAATAGGCTTTTCACTCACTAAATTACCGATAAGATATTACATTATCAGATATACAGGCACTTCACACTATTACTTACCGGTAAGATATGATGTTTTTAGAAAAATAGGCTTTTCACTCATTAAATTACCGGTAAGATATTGCTTTCTCATATATATATGCTTTCCCTCATTAACTTAGTGGGGGTAAGATATTGTGTTTTCATAAAAATAGGCTATTCACTCAATAAATTACGGGTAAGATATTACATTCTCAGATATGTAGGCACTTCACACTACAACTTATTGGTAAGATATGGTGTTTTCAGAAAAAACAGGCTTTTTACTCAATAAATTATGGGTAAGATATTGCGTTCTCAGATATATAGGCACTTCACACTATAACTTATTGGTAAGATATGGTGTTTTCAGAGAAATAGGCTTTTTTTTTTTTTTTGTTTTTTTTGTTTTTTTGATAGGGGAGAAATAGGCTTTTCACTTAATAAATTACGGGTAAGATATTGCGTTTTCAGATATATAGGCACTTTACATTATAACTTACCGGTAAGATATTCAGAAAAAATAGGCTTTTCACTCATTAAATTACCGGTAATATATTGCATTCTCAGATATATATGCTTTTCACTCATTAACTTATTGGTAAGATATGGTGTTTTTAGAAAAATGGACTTTTCACTCAATAAATTACGGGTAAGATATTGTGTTATCAGATATATATGCACTTTACACTATAACTTACCGGTAAGATATGATGTTTTTAGAAAAATAGGATTTTCACTCGTTAAATTACCGGTAAGATGTTGCGTTATCAGATATATATGCTTTTCACTCATTAACTAATTGGTAAGATATGGTGTTTTCAGAAAAATAGGCTTTTCACTCAATAAATTACGGGTAAGATATTGTGTTCTCAAATATATATGCACTTTACACTATAACTTACCGGTAAGATATAATGTTTTTAGAAAAATAGGCTTTTAAATCATTAAATTACCAGTAAGATATTGTGTTATCAGATATATATGCTTTTCACTGATTAACTTATTGGTAAGATATGGTGTTTTTAGAAAAATAGGCTTTTCACTTAAGAAATTACTGGTAAGATATTGCGTTCATAGATATATAGGCACTTTACACTATAACTTAGCGGTAAGATATGATGTTTTCAAAAAAATAGGCTTTTCACTCAATAAATTACAGGTAAGATATTGTGTTCTCAAATATATAGGCAGTTTACACTATTACTTATCGGTAAGATATCGTGTTTTCCAAAAAATAGGCTTTTTACTCATTAAATTACCGGTAAGATATTACGTTATCAGATATATAGGCACTTTACACTATAACTTACTGGTAAGATATGATCTTTTCAGGAAAATAGTCTTTTCACTCTAACTACGGGTAAGATATTGTGTCTCTATGTTATATTGACAATTTACACTATAATTTACCGGTAAGATATGGTGTTTTACGAAAAACAGGCTTTTCACTCAATATATTATGGGTAAGATATTGCGTTCTCAGATATATAGGCACTTTACACTATAACTTATTGGTAAGATATGGTGTTTTTAGAAAAATAGACTTTTCAATCAATAACTTAGGGGTAAGATGTTGCATTCTTAGATATATTGGCACTTCACTTTGTAACTTACTTGTAAGATATTGTGTTTTTAGAAAAATAGGTTTTTCACTCATTAAATTACCGGTAAGATATTGAGTTCTCAGATATATATGCTTTTCACTCGTTAACTTTGGTGTAAGATATTGCGTTTTCAAAAAAATATTTTATTCACTCAATAAATTACGGGTAAGATATTGCGTTATCAGATATATATGCACTTCACACTATAACTTACAGGGAAGATTTGGTGTTTTCAAAAAAAAAAAAAAAAGGCTTTTCACTTAATAAATTATGGGTAAATGGTGTTTTCAGAAAAAAAAAAAAAAGGCTTTTCACTTAATAAATTATGGGTAAGATATTGCGTTCTTAGATATATAGATATGGAGTTTTCAGAAAAAATAGGCTTTTCACTTAATAAATTATGAGTAAGATATTGTGTTGTCAGATATATAGGCACTTTGGGGACACAAAAATCTGCTAGAACGTAAATGAAAAAAACTGTACTTGTTCAACCATACCAATTTGTACCGTGAGCTAAGGTTGGTTGAGGCAAAGGCTACGAGTGGTCCATTTGGTGGGAAAAAGTTTGAGAATTCCAATTAGGGTTTGAGGATTCAAAAGGACATAAAAGATTTGCTAAAACATAAATGAAACAAACTGAATCGATTCAATAATACCAATCTGTAACGTGAGCTAGGATTGGCTAAGGCAA